CAGAACCCTCAAAAGGTTCTGTCGAATTTTTTATCCGTTTTTTGAGACTTTGGACACATTTGGATGCTTTTAGAAATCTACAGAACCTTTTTGAGGGGTTCTGCAAACCTCCTTTTTTTTCAGAGTAGTACATGGTCTTCTCCAATTTTCGTCCTCGTCACCTTAACTTCTACGAAAGGCAAGTGGTCCGATTTGACATAATCACGCATTCCTACCAAATTTGACACCCATAACTTGTAAAGTCAAAACTCTTGACTCCTAATACTTTTCGTCAACCTTTATAGAAAATTGTTATTTTCTCGAAATGTCCTTTCCTTAGCCTAGAAATCCACTTTGAAATTTTGAGGAACCGATTGCAGATTTGTATTCTCCGACCTCGAATTACTTTCGTCAACCTTTATAGGAAACCGTTCTTTCCCTGAAATATCCTTCTCTTATTCGAAAGGTCGAAGTCTCCTAATTTTTGTTACTGCGTGACCAGTTATCACGGAGGTTAAGTTTCAGAGAAATGTAGCTGCTTATGTCTAAGTACAATGAAGTACTTTAAAGTACAATAAAGTAAATTAAAGTACGAAAGTACAGAAGTACGATGTTTTCCCCTTGGGATAAAGAGATACTTGCACTCACACCCACATCCACATTCTCAAGAGGTTCGTTCATTCACTATTTTGAAGTTCGTTGTCATAATCGCATCACGACAATGACTTTAGTAGCGCCACCTATGTTTATTCACTACTTTTTCAGCAGAAACCAGGAGTGCAATTCGATAGAGAAAAACTTTCTCTATGAACTGGCATCAACAGAATCTTTGGTCTTTGACAAAAATCCAGAGGGAGACACACGAAGTGCATTTGACATTGTTTCGCTTATTTGCTTAAGCACCGCCGACTGTGTCAGCATACCAACCTAGGAGAACGAAACAAATCGTCACCATGATAGTGATGTTTATCTATATATATAACGTGCAAAGGTGTCCATCTTTCTACATAACAAATCGACAAGCAACTGTGAATCAAAGACTCTGACTATCAAAACAGCAACAACAAAAAATGAGCAAACTTGACGGAAAAATCGCTCTTATTCTCGGTGGCTCTGAAGGAATTGGTTTCGCCACTGCTCAGCGGTTCATCGCTGAAGGTGTGGAACATGTGTTCATTACTGGACGTCACCAAGAAACACTTGACGAAGCCGTGAAGAAAATTAATAGCAAGAATGTGAGTGCTATACAAGGTGACGTATCCGATATGGCTGATCTGGACAAGCTCTATAGTGTCATTCAGAAAGAGAAAGGTCGTTTAGACATTCTTTTCGTCAACGCAGCGGCTGGCTCATTTGCAGCACTGGGCTCGATCACGGAAAAAAATTTCGATGATACATTCAACGTTAATGTGAAAGGAGCACTATTCGCCGTTCAAAAAGCTTTGCCAATATTCACCAATGGTGGATCAATCATTCTAAATGGGTCTGTTGCAGCCGTCAAAGGTGGTTCAGGCTGTAGCATCTATGCTGCTAGTAAGGCGGCCCTACGCTCTTTCGCTCGCTGTTGGACAGTCGATTTGAAAGAACGAAAGATTCGAGTGAATATCGTGCATCCGGGACCAATCGATACGCCTGGACTGCGACGTCTTGGAAACAGTGAAGAGGAAAATAAAACGATCCGCGCTCGCCTAGCAGCTGCTACTGTGATGAATCGTATTGGAATGCCCGATGAAGTTGCTAAAGTAGTGGTCTTTCTCGCATCGGACGATAGTAGTTATGTTACAGGCATTCAACTTTTTGTCGATGGAGGTCTGGCACAGATTTGAGACATTTCTTGTGAGCTAAAAGTTGTGCGAATAAAGAAAAGAAGAATACAAAGGATGAAATAAGTGTCTATCTATATCTAGGTAACTGCGAAAACCGCATTGAGGATGTGGATGGGTGAGGGTGGTGTGAGTAGATACGGGATGCAGATATGCATATTCCCGTGTCACCCATACCCACTCCCATCATCCCCACCCACACACTCATCCACACCATAGATGGAACTGGTCTGAATTTTTGACCACCGGTACAGGTATCGGTCTCGCTTTGTCAGATCGGATCGGTCGTTCGAACAATGACCAGTCAATAGACCGGTCTAGAAGAGCAGAAATTTCATTCGCTGTAGCTACACTACTTATTTTTCTTCTGTGCTAAAACGCCTATTTTCACAGTCATGACAGCAATTGCCAACCTCAATAACAATGAATAGTTGACCAACGATCTACTTCAAAAGATATCAGGACCCAGACTAAAATAGAACGAATGTGTATTTTACAATACATCTGAACATGAACTCAAAGCTATCTAATGAGATCTTTAACCCTTTCAGGATGAGATTCTTTTTTGTCAAGCAAAATAATAAAATACGGAATTAATTAAAGTGAATTAATTTTTCTTTCTAATCAGCATTATTGATCCCTTCAAATACTGGTACGGCTCATATATATGTTGTCAGTACGAAATTATAGAACACTGTCAAGTACATAAATTATAATTAGTACTCATCTCTAGACTTAAACTGTTTCAGGACGAAAGACGCATATATGTGTCTCCCGTCCCGAAAGGGTTAAACAAGATTGAAACATGTTTAGATCTGCCTGGCTAACCCTTCCCGTCCCTCAAGAATAGTAACAATCATCAATCTGGACAACAATGAAGAACAAAGGTGTGGGTGGGCGTGGCTGCGACTGTGACTGTGGCTATAGACATTCGTTCTCACACCCACATCCACCCACACACGCCCACACCCGCACCCAAACCCTTCCGGACTTCCACTCACACCAGCATCCACACACAAACCAAGGTTCTCACTCCCACCGACACCGACTTTACGCGCATCCATCTCCTTACACCAAATCCACTCAAATTCCTCAATTTTTAAAGATAGGGTATCCATTTTGGGTATCCATCTCGTTGCATCAAATTCACTCAAATTTCTAGCTGTTCTAGGATATATCGATGTTTGAAAATCTCGATACCCGAGTTCCGGATATTATGACATCCCTCTAATAATTCATCAATGGCTGTTACAAAATTTAATAAATATCAAGCAAGTTTATCTCATAAACAAGCTAATGATTTGTATGTTAATGTCGTTAAAGATCACAAAGATAATATGGATGTATTCAATTTAATTGATATTGAACATAAAAACAAAACATTAGCAAATCGAAATTAACTTAAGAAAATTATTCTAACAATCATTTTTCTTTCTTAACAAGGTTTATCATTGAGAGGACATCGTGAAAATGGTGATTTAGAAAATAAAAGTAATTTATTGAGCAACAGATATGCTATTCGGTGACAAAAAATTATTAGGATGCACTTGAAAGTGGGCTAAGTCAGTAACTGATAACAATACAATGAAAAAATTTCCAACTAACTTGAGGTTTTACTTCAACATAAGTACCCACATTCAGTACTTTACGCGGCAGTAATTCGAATCAAATTATTCAATCTGAATGCTTTACCGAGCAACTATCTTCGTTCTCATTCTGGTTTTTCTCGTTATATCGATCGGAAGCATCGCTGTTCCTTTGATATATGGTCAATGTCCTTTTCAATCTAAACCTATTCTGTTTCAAAAGATTGTTGGGAGTATCGGTATCGTTCTGTCTGTCGTCAGTTTGATCATAGTGAAATGGTTCCATGATGATCCCAAGTATGCGATTCCTGGCTTTACCAACTTTCTCAGTATATTTTTATTCGTCACACGCATTCCTGGAAGCCAGTATACCTTTGACGCTTCAAGTAATTAACAAGACATTTATCCATTTCTGGATAATTACTGCCACAAACGTTTATTGTTAGTATCTCAAATACTCATGATTACCTCATATATTTTGATAGCTATTCTATCTGTAATATCATATTTTCGTTGTTTCAAATGTTGCAAAAATAAAGTATCAAGTAGATGAACATGAAACAACTCTGAAACAATTATATTTTTCGGAGTTGACTTTAAAATTCAGTTGCTTTTAAAAAGCAATTGCATTCTTGAAATGAGGTTTTTCACGGAACCAATAAAGGATCTTCTCACGGATATCAACCTGAAACCTTTTTTGGTTTCCCATACAGGAGAGTTTTGTATCAAAATACTATTGGACTATTCTAAGAAATATTTAATAGGAGAAGTTTCACATTAAACCTTTTTACTAAATTGCAAATAAGGTTTCGTATGAAGAGTTTCGTATCCAAGTCTACATTCATACAGTTAGCTTATCTGTTTCTATGCCTTTATCACCATATGTCAATTCTGGCTCACATAGTTCATCTCTTTTTCTATATTTAACCCTCTAATCCTATGCTCCACTCCTTGCTCCTATACTTAATCTCCCGTTAACTATGTCTATCGCTTACTACTGTCCCTAATTCATGATTCTTATTCTAAATTCTCTGCTTCTGTACTCAACCCTTATTTCTATGCGTAATATCTTCTATAGTGTGGGTGACATATGATTGTGGGTGTCGATGAGAAGAAAACTCACACCCTTAAGCAGTTTTTGCAAGATTTGACGGATAGATGAGAACCAAAACTGTGATCAATTTATCAACTCATATGACCAGAAATAGGCAAGTTTTAGCTACAAAACTGCTTTAAAAAATTATTTTTATCAAATTAAAATTTTGGTATAGAAAAGTGATTTCCGTCAGTAGATGCACCAAACAGTGCGGAATTTTTCACTTTCTTGCTTGCAAACTCCGTAGCGACAGCAGTCCAAAGATTTGATTTCATCACAAGCAGAGCTGCCTAAGCAAAATATAAAAAGCCAGGAGATTCTCGGTAAAAAACCAGTAGACCAAGAGAAGATTTTAGCGAAAAACTAGTAGGAAAAACCAGTAGATATTTATGGACCTGAAGTAACTATGGTGTGGGTGTGAACATGATTATTCCCTCATCTACCCACATGCAAGCAATTACTGCACACCCAGACCCACACACACAGTCACACCCATATCCATACCTACATCCAAACCCACACCCTCTGCAAAGGATTGACTAAGCAGAAGAAAAAATTGACTATTGTCTCAATACTTGTATAGATCAATATTCCTGCTTCAATTTGTAATGAATAGATTTCAATGGATTCTATTTCGAATTTTCATAAGTTTTCTGGAAAAAAGTTCGCAATTGAAATACTCCAATATGTTCGATTACGATCGAACTGCGACGCAGTTATTTAATAAGTGGCGACATGGTGTACCACAGATTAATGGAAAAAACGTAGCGTTCGAAGGATTTTTGGCCGATTTCTCAACGATAGGGGGATGAAATCGAAAAAATAACGTATGTATTTGATAGAGCTCGACGAGTCCTATCTGGGACCGTGATTGGTTGAGTTCGAAACGACAGCAGTGGGAATTGCGACGCTGTATTCTTTTCTTTTGTGTTTTCGTGTGTTTTTTTACAGTAAAATGAGTTTCTGTTGTAATGGAAGGTTTTTTTTCAGAAAAAAAAATAATGGAATTGATAGATCTCATCGGCATTTACTTGGAAACAGTATTGGTCTAGTTGCAACCGGGTTTAGTACCAATCACGCTGTGAAATACTCGAATCATGATCTGATATATGCTACGTCTTCTAGAATTCTTTTTTTTTCTCGGTAGGTGTCACTTTCAGTTGATAATAACAAAATAATTCAATAATTCAATTTTTTCTAATCGAATATTTAATAAAATAATATATTTAGACAAGGCACAGCATATATTTAAGAGAGACTAATTTTTAGCCAATAAAATTTGTTTCTCTTGTCTCCTAGAAACAAGCTTAAAAGACATTGTAAAATGAAAGTCTGATCGTCGATTAAATTGTCACAAAGACAAAAACCGACTAGTTTGATATTACAAAAATGGCTCGATTATACGATGCAATCGAACCGGAAGTTATTTCAATGAGTATGCTTCAGCATGCAGTTGAGTCATTACGAGCTGACGGAGAAAATCTGGTCGTTCCTAAAGACGAAAAATTAAATTATGGTGAAGTTAGTGTACTTCGTTTGGATTTTCGAAGTAAAAATATTTTTTAAATTTCAACAATAAACAATTTATTCGCTCTGTTTTAAGACATTCTTCGAATGGAAAATCTTTGGCTATTTACTAATTTAACGAAGCTTCAAATGGATAATAATATAATTGAACGTATTGAAGGACTAGATACATTGCACAAATTAACTTGGTTAGGTAAAATTTTAGATCAATAAAATATTTTTTCTGAAAAAGTATTTTATTTTAGATCTTTCATTTAATAATATAACACGTATTGAAGGTCTCGATTCTTTAACTGAATTAACTGATTTATCATTATATAATAATCGAATAACAGCTATTGAAAATATGGATTCGCTTAAAAAACTTAATGTTTTTTCTATTGGAAATAATCAAATCGACGACGAAAATAGCGTTAGTAAGAAAATATTCTTGATTTGAAGTAATCTATGATTTTATTTCGAATATTACATCAAAGAAAACAATAGTTGATCTGTAATAAATCAGAGCTGAAAAATGAACTTCAACTCGAGATTATAAATAAAATATCCTGTATGTTGAGAGAACTACTTACATGGACAAAGCGAACAATTTTGTTGTCGAACTATTCGTTCTTCTCAAAATTCAATCACGTATTCGATTTGCTCAGTCTTGTAATCGATAGTATATTAAATGCAACAGTATGATAAGCATTGTAATAAACAGAGACATGTAGTACCAATAAATTCAAATAAACGAGTTTCAAAACAAAAATTCATTTCTTAATAGGTTCAAAAATTTTCAATATATACAAGAAATTCCAATTAAAATGAAAATTTTCTTAGTAGGTAACTGAAACAAACTTAACGAATAATTAGACATTGAGTCTCTTGAAGAGTATATCATGTCAACAAGAACAGTTACTTGCAGTAGTGGATCGTGGCTGGCTGTTTTCAAACTCATTCCAAATAGGTCATTTACTATTGATTTCGTAATTCTGAAGTATTTCTTAAAAATTCGTGAGTCCATCATAGAATAAAATATCAGTTCGAGGTTTATTTTCTCGTCTCTATCTCTCGCTAAATCCTAGTAAAATAAATGTGACTAGAGAATTCAAAATTTTAAGAAAAGAATACTTCTTAGCGTACAAATACGTCATTTAAGTTGCCGTATGCTAAAAAGATGAGACTTTGCAGCCTAAACATCTCATCTCAGTCATGTGTTAGTTGTCGGCATTTCTCATAATGTATAAGAAATATCTTTTTGAATATTTTTTTATTAAGCCTTCTATTTTTATCCTTTTGGATGTTCCTAATCGATCGTTCAAACAAACAAAAAATTAACATAAACTACTCATTGTTATTTTGATTTTCCTTTAGATACGTTATTTACGTCGATTTGATAATCTTCGAACTCTTTGTCTTCGTGGAAATCCATTTGCATCTAAGCCAGAATATTATGTATTTACAATCTCTCATTTACCACAAGTTCATTTTCTTGATTACAAACTAATTGATGATGCACCTGTATGTCATATTTGTAGGCAATTGTAATTTATAAAATAATATATTTTAGAGAGAAGAAGCAACAAAAAAATATGAAATTCAATTGCAACAATTAATAACACTTGAAGAACAAGAACGAGAGAAAGAGAAAGCATCTGAAGATCAAACCAAACAATTTCAATTGTATAAAGTAGAAATTTTGTTTTTTAAATATAGTTTATGTATCTATTAAAATTGTTATTTGAAGGATGCATTTGTTGAAAATATGGATCAAAATCAATTATTTACAGCAATGTTTAAAGATGATGTTGAAGGTCAAAAATTAATTCTTGTACCCGGTTCTGATGAATTAATGACACAATTTGAACAAAAATTTAATGCTATTATCTATTCAATGTTTGAATTTGGTTTAAAAGTAAAAGTTTTCGTTGTTGAAGACAAGAAAAATTTATATTTGCTCTGTTTTAGGAAAAAGAAATAAGAGATCGTGAAATTGAAGATTTTTGGATATGTGTTAATGAAGCAAAAAATGAAAATACACGTCAAGCTGCAGCAATTGTAGATGAATTTAAAACTTATAGATCGACATTATTTGTAAGTTCATTCATAGACTTTTTCCTTAATTACACAAAAAGAAAACAATTATTTTGCTTTGATAATAAATGCAAAAATTTTAGCAACATTTTCTTTAAGGGGGCCCCCCCCCCCCTCAGAAATCAACTTTGTTATTTTTCGTCCGCTTTCAACCAAATATTTCAGAGAATATGAGCCTTGGCTAGGATAGGCTATGGGTGAAATATCTCCCCCAAACCCCAGTATACTAATGAGTTACAGTCAATTTAGTGGTAAAAAGTACTCTGTACGCGGGCNTTCAAAATCAGTAGGATTTTGTAGCCCCCGGCTTGCTCTTTTGAATGGTGAAAACCGCAGCTCGATAACTCAAAGTAATCAAAAGTTATTCAGAAAATGGTCGTTAATACTTTAAAAAAAATCCGACATTAGTAGAAAAATTTTTACTAAAATTATTTTTTACATACGAAATTTCTTCTAATGATAATTTCTAAATTCATGAACTTCTAACACGATCAGTTTTCGATCTTATATCTTCAATGATCGAAACAGAAATATGTTTGATTAACTCAGTAATAAATATAGAAAATATTATTAATAAATTATAATATAAAATTAATCATTATTTCAATTTATTAGGTCTTAAAATTGAAATAACTCATTGTGGTAATATGAAACGTAAATATCGTGTTTGTAATGTAACACGAAAACCAGCACAATATCAAACGTAAAAAGAAAAGAATTATTCTAATAATATAATAATTATAAATAAATATATCTTAGATTTCCACTTCAACTTGAAAGTGGTCAAACTGTTGAATGTACTGTTGCTAAATATTTCTATGAAAAACATCATATTAAATTACAATATCCACATTTACCATGTTTACAAGTTGGTCAAGAACAAAAACATACTTATTTACCACTTGAAGTATATAATTAAATAAAATAAAAAAAAGCCAAATGGTTCTATGAAAATAAAAAAATTTTTTTTTTTTTTTGTTTTAATAGGTTTGTAATATTGTTCCAGGACAACGTTGTATAAAAAAATTAACTGATATGCAAACATCAACAATGATTAAGGTATGTTATTTCTCTAAAATAGATTTTTATTTTGCTAAAAACGATAGAAAACCGAAGTTATTGTTATTGGAAAATTTTTTTTTTTTTTTGTCATTTTTATAGTCGAGTGAGGTAGAGTTAATTAAGCATGATATTCTTCTTTGGGGAATGTATTCTTACATATATATATAATCGAGATCGTTCCTATCTATGCTATTGTAGAGTCAACAAGAACTACCTCAGGTAATAACTTATACACAACAACAAAAAAAAACACATGTGTGCACTAGTGGTTTTATATTTATTTATTTTTCTTGTGCTCGATTCGCGCGCGCGAACATTAAAGCCATTTGAGTACACGCGTAAATATAACTGCTGTTTGTTTGGGATGAATAAATAAAAAACAAAAACAAACAAAACATTTTAGATACGTTTTATTTTTTATGATAATAACATAGATAGGAACGAATGTTTTATGACGAAAGTCATAAGAAATAAATAAAACATATCTTCAGTTAATTTAACCAGCAAATAGCACGTCTCTTTTTTTTTTATCTTCTTTATCTGACTAAATTTGTTTTTTCTTCTAATCAATTCTTTATTTTTTTTTTTTTTATATTATTTTTTAGGCCACTGCACGATCAGCACCTGATCGAGAAAAAGAAATCAATAACTTAGTAAGTGTTTGTTTTTTCACTTTTCATAGGAGAAGAATATATTTGCCTTGCGGCAGATTCAATCAATTGCTTGAGCTTTCTGCGCACATTAACTAGTCACATGAGTAAGTGTATGTCACAACGTAGTCGGCATCCTATCAGAAGCAAATAATCGTTAGTGATTTGTCTAGGATTATTCCATGAGTAATGATACTGAGTTATCTCATATCTTGGGGATGACTATTCAAATTTGATTGAGAGTATCAAAGTATGACTCGATCGGGTCCCAAAAATGTTAAGGGGACCCCCCCCCTCAGAAAAAATCTCCCACTTAGGATGGTCCGCTTGAGCTGAAATTTTCAGGGATGAGTGATCTTAGTGAGATATGCTTCTGGTAAAAATTTTAGCTCTATAGGTCGTATTAGACCGAATTTCCAGCTGATTTATAGGTCATTTTTGGCCTTCAGGAGAATTGACAAAACTCCGTCCCAGTANTAAAAATGTTAATAAAACAACACCACAAACATTATCAAATTTATGTTTAAAAATAAATGTTAAATTAGGTGGAGTTAATAATATTCTTGTACCAAGTGTACGACCAATAAGTGTTTTTCGTGAACCAGTTATATTTATTGGTGCTGATGTAACACATCCACCAGCTGGTGATCGTTCAAAACCATCAATTGCAGCTGTAAGTAAAATCTTTAATCATACGTGTGAGATTAAAAATGTGAAATACAATAGAGTTGTTTATATTATCAATGAGGCACTTTATTGATATATATATATTTCGGTTAATACACTAGTAGATTTTGTCTTGGAATCTGCCTGAATTCGTTCATGGAAAATTACAAAAAATCGATACTTTTGTTTTATTTGAACTATTCTTATGGAGTTGCCCGGTCTGGCTGGATACCCCATTAATATTTTTTTTATTGTAAGGATAAAACATATACTATTGTTCGGGCCATATGAGAGAGGATCATAGATAACCCTGGATCGGCCCGATCAACACTATGTTTTATCCTTACAATAGCAGAGAAAAGTTACCACCTTATCGTGTGAGCTAGTAGCTTTTCTCTGCTATTGTAAGGATAAAACATAGTGTTGATCGAGCCGATCCAGGGTTATCTATGATCCTCTCTCATATGGCCCGAACAATAGTATGTTTTATCCTTACAATAAAAAAAAATATTAATGGGGTATCCGGCCAGACTGGGCAACCCCATATATATATGTACTATAGATCTTTGAGCACTCATTTTTTTTTATAAAGATACAAAAAAAAACGATTGTCTGGAATAGAACTCGTAGGATCTGGCTCCGAAAATTTTCAACCGGACGGGTTCTAGTGTAGGAAGTATCACCGAAAAAATTATAGAATCGAGCTTTTTTTTTTATTATATTAGCAACAAGTATCTGACTTTTTATTAAGTTTGCATTTTTAGAACATGTCGTACTGATCTTTTTGTAATATAACTTATGAGTTATGTTCATGCTATAAAAGCACAAAAGTACGAAAAATGTACATTCGAATGAATCGACAAAAATAATCATAAATTTTATATTGTATAAAGAAAATGTGAATGATAACTAGTGATAATGAATGTTTGGGGAAAACAATAGATGGCAGCTTTAGCAAGACAAAAAAAAAACTAAGCCTATGACATCGTTGGTGTGCCAGGGGTACATGTGAACCCACAGTAAGAAAAAGAATAATCCAAAACTTATACATCAATACATTCTTTAGATGGTGTTTCACGAAAAAACAAAACCATTCTTTCTTTTTATTTAAAGGTAGTTGCTTCAATGGATGCTCATCCATCACGTTATGCAGCTACAGTTCGTATACAAATGCATCGTCATGAAGTTATTGCAGAATTATCAACTATGGTTAGAGAATTATTAATACAATTTTATAAATCAACACGTTTTAAACCTGCACGAATTATTTTATATCGCGATGGTGTTAGTGAAGGACAATTTGCTCATGTACTTGCACATGAACTTATGGCTGTTCGTGAAGCATGTGTTCGTCTTGAAGCTGCTTATCAGCCTGGTATTACATTTATTGTTGTTCAAAAGCGTCATCATACACGTCTGTTCTGTGCTGATAAAAAGGAACAGGTAAATAGGTCGATATATATCTTTCTATATATAGTTACAAGGCGTCACCAAAAAAAAAGAAAAAGTACGGCTTATCGCAACCATCGATAATACTATATCTGATCAATCATGTTTCATGTAAAAGTTCAGAAATGAACAGTTAGTATAATTTCAACATGTTTATCTTATAAACTTATTTATTAGCTGAGTGAAAAGTGATATACTTCTCTAATAGATATTACGAAAAGGAATAGATTGTAAACGAAGTAGTTACTTTTATTGAATGAATTTTGAAAAAGATAATTAATTTAGTTCTTCTTGCGAATTATTTTATTACTTAAAAAGATCAAGCAAGAAATCTGAGTATGTTCTTAAGAGAGCAAAGGATAATAAGGTTGACCTAACTTGTTCTTTTAAAATTCTAAATATAATAAAAAAAGAAAAATATATCTTTTCAAATTGAATGTAATTCCTGAGGAAGTCATGTATATATTATACTTCTAATTTTATATTAATAAAAGAAAAAAAATTATATTTTTCTTTTTCTCATTATTATTATTTTAATGATTGTTGATATTAATATTAAAAAAGATCAACTTCCTGAAGGCTTGTCATGACGTGTAACATGAGAAAAATCAATTATACATAATAACTATATCAACAAGGTATGTTTTAATAAAAGATTGTGACGTATATCAATATATTTACTTAAATTACTATTCTAATAATAATTTTTTTTTTTCTTATTATTAAAAATAATTTATAACTTTATCTTTTAGGATATTTATTCATGTTAAAGGTATCCTTGACTCTATTTTTAGTTAAATATCAACAAGAAAATGTATATTCGTCTTATTTTTTTTTTACGTATGAGGAAAGAACCCTGGATAGAAGAGAACCTTGTACACACACATATATATATATATACTACTGCAGTACAGCGCAGCAAAAATGTCGGTTAAAATTAATGACGTTAGTAGTATATCGTTATTATGAATCGTAAATGCACTCTGATTGCGTAGTTATTTAAACGCGTAAATTCTATCTGAAGATATTCAGCCTTGATATTTTGATTAGCCGTTCTGATGATTTATATATTTACCAAAAGTCTATATAATTTAATTGCGCTTATAACCTCGTTTTTTTTTCCTTATCATTCGTGTTTAATCAATATAACGTATTCTTTAACCTCAAAATTCTCTTTTGTTTTATTTCGAACAAAATTTAAAATAGTAAATGTACTATTTTCAGCGAAAGAAAAGAAAATATACTTTAATCAAAAAAAAAAGATATGTTTTTGTTCTACTTTTTTTTTTTTCCTTTTAGTGTGGAAAAAGTGGTAATATTCCACCGGGAACAACAGTTGATGTTGCCATAACACATCCAACTGAATATGATTTTTATTTATGTTCACATGCTGGTATTCAAGGTACATCTCGACCATCACATTATCATGTACTTTGGGATGATAATAATTTTACTTCTGATGAATTACAAGCATTAACTTATCAACTTTGTCATACATATGTCAGATGTACACGTTCAGTATCAATACCAGCACCAGCTTATTATGCTCATCTTGTTGCATTTCGTGCACGATATCATTTAATTGAAAGAGAACCGGAAAGGTATTTAGTTATAATATAGAATAGGAAAGATAAAATTGAGTATTTTAAATAATTATTTTTCTTTTTTAGTAATGAAGGTTCACATCAATCATCAAACGGTGATTCCAATGGTCAACATCAAGTCCAATTGAGTCGTGCAGTTACCGTACATCCGGATTCGGCTCAAGTCATGTATTTTGCTTAGTGTTAGAATTAATCCTCCAATCCTAATGTGTTGCTCATATCTTCATCTATTTACTTGTCATCATTCTCTTTCGCTAGATCAATTTTCTCTCTCTCTCGCTTTGTTGTATCTCAATAGATCAATTCAATGTATTTGTGTTCTTGTCGCAAAGTTTTTCTTCCTCATCTCGTCTATGTTGATCTCCTTTTTCTTTTCTTTTTTTTTTCTATGTATATTAATTTCAAATATAGCTTCCTCTTAAATGCGCACGATTGAGAGTGCAATAGAGGTGCTATTTGTTCTCCGTCACATACATAACTCCCCGGAATTTTGCTTCATTCTCTTCCTACTCTTAGTTGTAGTTTTATTCACAACAGTGCAATTATTAACCCCAAAAATAATAACGCACACATATACACAAATAGATTTTGCAGTGTTTTATGCGCACTACTTGTCGTATAACAGTGTATATACATATAGTTGTTGTTCGCAGTGATTCAGCCATCTCAAAAAAAAAAAAATGTCACTCTGTTATTATTATTGTTGTTGCTGTTGTTGTTGTTTTTTTCAAAAAAAAAAAAAAAAAAAAGTAGTGCTATTCTTAAACAGTGTGTGCATTTTGAAACTAACTGCAATAACGAATGATGATGAAAAAAACAAAGCAAATTCCCAAAGTCGAACATCAATCTATTTCTCTTTAATACAACATTTTCTTTTCCTTTTTGGTCTCTTTTTTTTTTTCTCTTGTCTATTTGTGTGTATATGTGCGCAGTTTTCCTTCTGTTCTTTCTCATAATGATTCTTTTTACTCATATGCTATGTTATACCATTAGTGCATCGTTCCGATTTCCGAATGACAAAATAAAAAAAAAATGTCAGCGTTCTTTTTTCTTTTTTTGTCTTCTTCTTTACTTGTAACAGAAAAGAAAAGGTAACAACGCAAATGAAGAAAAAAAACACATGCGTGTATGTTTGTAGAGAGAGTCACTATTCTCTGCGTTCCTCTTCTATTCTTTGTGTGTCTCAAATGAATTTATGTGAATGTGCCTCCTACGTTTTTCTTTCTTTTTTCATCATTTCCTTTGTTGTTCTGATAACAAAGCGTTTAAATGATATTCCTAATTGATTTATTAAAACATAGTGTACAAGAAAAAATACAAAATCAGCTTTATATATATATATATACATGAAAATGATGTCAATTTGATGAAAGTGTTGATTCATGAACTATTCATTCTAATGAATTGTTGAAATATTTCAAAAATTATTGTCTTCAAAAAAAAAGAAAAATTTTTTTTTATTTAATTAATATTTTCGAAGGATTGTTTTGATAACAAAAAAATAAATGGATAGAATATGTTACTATAAAAAAACAAAGTTTTTTGTTTTTACATTTGACCAAGGTTATTTTTCTTTTTTCTTTTTGTATATAAAAACAAGAAGAAAAACAACTGTTGTTTCTAATCTAAATATAACAAATGATGGTTAGTCATCGTTTTTCATTAGTTAGAATAAAATATATTCATTTGATCTGATACAACAAATGACTGATTGTTATATATTTTCAAGCAAAAAAGAAATCAGTATATCATCTTGTCATATATTATTATGTTTTCAATAAATATATAATAAGCAAAAGGATACTAGTATTGATAGTTCCAATCCGTGTTATTTCAAATATTGTAATGTCATACTACCAAGCAAACAATACTATATTTTTATGATTAATAATGTTTTTTTTTTACAAAAAAAAAGAGAAAGTACCGGCAACCTTTATGCTAGAAATATTATGAACAATAATCTTTATAATAGAATTTTCTAATTGAGATACTTACTTTTGTTATGAAATGATAATATCCTTGTGTGCAGATAAATCTCATTCAATTTATATGTCAAAAGATTCTCCATATGATTCTCAGCAATAAAGTATGTCTTTGAATTATTTTTGTTGACGAGAATATTCTGAAAACTTAACAGACCAAAAAGAAGTTGAGACAGCTGTCTTTGTGGTTTGAATAGTTTTAAAAATAAGAAAGCATTTGATAAAAATAGTGTTGCTAGATTGATCAATTTTGTAGCATTATTTCATTTGTTGTTATTTAGCATAAATAATCTTCCAATATTTCAATGAAAATAAATGTTCATTATAGTAACATATGATTCAGATTAAAATAAAAATAAAATCATTTTAAATATCCTATTATGTAGATGTTTATATGTTATGTTTAAAAACAATTGAACGATAAAACATAGTCGTTGTATTTCATAGATAAAAGATTGATGCAGATAATTGTTAGAACAGATATATATGTATAAATTATTTCATAGTAAAGTGTATCGAGTCTATTCTCTTTTTACACAAGAATTTGTCTTAAATTTAGATGTACTGTATTGCTTTTCTGTTACTTCATCAAAGTAAGTCAGTCAGTATGCATCATGTTCTCTTTCTTTGCCCTCTATAGTATATACCACTTATTACTCTTACCAATTGTCGTCTTTTTTTTTTCTTTTGATATATTTTAATACATATACTGATATGAGTATCTAGATATACATAATACAAGGTAAAGATGTAATCGGAAAAAATACTATATTACTCATTGATCTGTTCGGTGCATTTTTCCCCATATATCGATATTATGAGTAATTTCTATTTCTAGAATCTACGTAAAATACAACATTAGAAGATTTGCCTATTATTTTTTTATTTCCTTTCTTCTCTCATTCATTTCTCTGGAACGAATATAACTAAACTATCACGTTTTGTGAACATGTGAGTCGAACGGAACCTGCGAACCTTGACAAGAACACACTTTTAGCAGCGGCCTCAACGTTCTTAGCCGACCTTTTTTTTTCTTTCTTTTTTGATCGTTCTTTTTTCGTATTTTTTTTTATTACTTCTCTTGTCTACATTATATCAAACTACGTCTTTACGTTGTTCGTTTGTCTTAGTATTTTTCTCTTCTCTTTTTTTTAGTTGCACTTTGAATAAGAGCATTTTGCATATACACATATTGTGAATTATAAATGTGTGTTATTATATCAATACTAAATGTACAGTTTTTTTCTTTCATTATCTAAATAGATAGTAAGGTCTAATTTTGATATGATTTGATTTTTGTTTAGTGTTGTTGACTATATTCTTTTCAAGGATATTATATTAGCTGTAAAATATTTAGAAAAGCAGCTTAGAACTTGTCTTTTCATCATGCAAACGAATTTAAATCATAATAGTTAAAATCTACATCCGTGAAAATATAAAACATGCAAGTACGCCTCTAACAGCTCCTTTTGTCCTTGATGCGCTTTCTTATGCAACCGCATTTCTTACTTCTTCAGTTTTTTTTTCTTTTCTTTCCTTTTGCTGTCAGTATTTTCGAATCATGTCGACTAGATGTGAAACGCAACATAATAAAACGTTTCATTGAAGTCGACATTCTTATTTCATTATCATCAGGACTATGCATGTTATTTTTCTAGATTATATTAATATATCTGTATTTATTTTAAAAAAATTTTGTCGTTCTCAAACGAAATGCCAGAAAGTGGATTAATCATAAAACTTGGTGATGATAATGAAATCATAAATACAAAACATATGGAATCAAGTGCATCACCAAAATCATCAAAAACTAAACGAACACGATTAACATTTCCATTTGGAGCTTGGTAAGAATAATATTATATAAGGATATAAAATCAATGCATAGTTTTTTTTTGTTTTTTTTTAGCCGAGTATGTTCTGATTCAGCTACGGGAATTCATTATGGAATAGCAACTTGTGAAGGCTGCAAGGTAATGATATGAATTCTATGAATATCGAATATTAGATGTATAATAGTTATATTAATATTTACATTTTTTTGTTTTTTCCTTCAAGTCAAATGTACGTTGTCATTATCGTTTTATTTTTAGGGTTTCTTTAAACGAAGTATTTTACGTAAAGAAAAATATCGTTGCTATTTTGATAATTCATGTCTCATTAACGTGGCAAATCGTAATCGTTGCAAAGCTTGTCGTTTTCGTCAATGTATTGACGAAGGCATGTCCGTTGACGGTAAGATTGTAAAAAAAAAAAGAAGAAAAGAATTAAAAAATCTATTTTTATTTCAAAGGTGTAAAAATGGGTCGAATACCAAAATTAGTTAAAGAACGAGCTTTAAAAGAATTAAAAGAACAAAAACTAAAAGAAGCAGCTGCTTTAGCTAAAGTCAATGAAGTACATGGAAGAGAATCATCATGTTCATCTTTATCTGATCATACACTTGAAAATTATGACCCAAATACAATGGAAACAGGTACGAAATTTTTTTTTTTTTTCTTCATAATAATTCAATTTTATTTCATTAGATTCCATGGATTCACATGTATCATCTATTCAACGAGATTCTAATCTGACAAATACCTATACAAGTGATATTTTCGAAAAAAAATTAACACTTCATTCTCCAATAGATGATAATGATATAGAAATTTTAAATGAGGTTCATTCTTCTCCAACAATGGAATTGAATTCTTCACAATTACAGTCTGATAATGCAATAAATATGACATCTCAATCAACATTAAATAATGAAGAAAATACACAAATTGTATATCGAACAAAATATCCAACTTTTTTACCAGATGATTTTACAGTTGATGAAACAGAAGGTTCATCTAAACAAATAATAGGTTTATTAAGCAATGAAGAATTACAATATGCTCACACAATAGCAAATAAATTAAGTGCAAATCCATCGAATTTAATTATTGAACTCAATGAAGATGAAGAAAAATTTATTGGGTAATTACATTGACATATTACATGATTTATTTAGTATAAAAGAGTTTGATCAATGATAGAATTTAATTTCTAGAAAGCTATCAAATAGAATATCTGCCTATGCTACTCTTATCAAATGTTTTCTGACAGTCTAATATAATGTCAATAATGGAATAGCGATATCTATTTTATTGACTAGAATTTAATAAATTCATCAAATTTAATACTTTCAACTTGACAACAAAATTTTAATAATTATTTTTTTATTTAGATATCTTCGTAATACGACATACGATGTTTATCTTCGACGTTCAAAGAGACAGAAACAATTAATTTCTCGAATGAATCAAATGATTAAATATAATATTCAAGAATATCCTGGTGATAATGCTACATTAGCAGAATTTTTCAATAGTATTCGATGTATGTTAAAAAAAATAAATTTTCGAATAAAATTTACTATAAATTATTTTATAGTATGTTGTCAAGTGTATACTCATTCAACAGTATTAAATGTTCAAGAAGTAATTAAAACAAAAAAAAAGTATTTGTTTTTTTTTTCTGTACAATTTTTTTAATAATTTTAGTTACCTGGTATGAAAAATATAAGTGTTAAAAGTCTTCAAAAAATAATATCTTATCGAGGATTTGGATGGTATTTGGTAAGTAGTTCTATTGAAGAGAAGCAAAAAAAAATGTTTCATAAAAAAGAATTTTTTTTGTTTTCTTTAAGCTTAAATATCATGAATTATATAATGAAAATGGTCAATGTTATTTACTTGCTCCAAATGGTTTTCAATGTACTCGTTATTGGATGTGTCAATTACATGGTGATGAATTAGCAGATTCTATGTTTAAGTTTTGTCAACGTTTTCGCAGCCTTCATCTCAATGAACGAGAATTTTCACTTACTTTGCCTTTACATATGTGTTCTTATGGTAAAAGAGTTTTATTTTATTATGATTTAAGTTTAAATTCGGTATTTTTAGACTCAACTATGGAAGATAAACACATACCTCAAATGTTGAGATCTTGTTATGTTTATGCTCTTTATACAGAATTATGTCATAATCGTGGTAGAATTGATGGAAAAGGAATGCTCCATAAAGTTATGAAAGTTCGTTTAAAAAACAAAAGTTCTGTTTGATTTTTATCTAATTATGTTTAATATATATTTATAGGTGCTTGAGCTTCTCAATCCACTAACTGAATTATACCAAAAAGAAGCTGCCACACGCATATTAGTAGGTAATAGTGAATATAATGGTTCTTTCTTTTTTTCTGGAATTTTAATTAATTAATTTTCATTTTAGTATAAAACTCGGGGTGAAATGTAAATAAAAAATTTTCGTCTGATTTATATATTAATAGAAAAAAAAACATTCATACTCATGTATGATCTCAACATTAACGATAAAGAAAAGCATTTTTGTTTAATTGTTTTTCTTTTTTTTTTCTGTTGTTGTTGTCTACTTTTTTTGCAGTATTGCCATTGTTGTTTTCTTTTTCTTTTTGTTTTGTTTTATTTTTTTTTTTGAATTCACGCATCGCAAGAAACTTTAGTACACATGTGTATTTTTTTCAATGTTTATTCCGGTTAATAAAAAAAAAAAAAGATTGAATTAAGCTCTTTGATTTTTTTATAAGTTATATTATTACAACAATCTTTTCAGAGTTCATTTGCATTTATTTATAAATGAAATCGTAGAAATTATTATTGAGTTCTATTTATGGAAATAGAAATTTTTCGAATACAAGAACAATATGCTTCTTTGTCAGAAATAAATATGAACAATAACAAGATGATAATGCCATATTTAGAAAGCATAATTAATGTTGATTATCGCTGAAAAGATTTTTAAAAATCTTGTAATCTTATACAGATTAACAGAGATATTCGTAGAATTTTCTTAACACGTCAAAACGTTAAGATGAATCTTATTAAAAATGGTGAATAATCAAAACAGGCACCATATTTTTGTCATTGGCATTATTTTTCTTTTGTGGTAAAAGAAACGAGCACACATTAACCTAGATGCTTTGTTCAAATGCAAGCTGTCACTCATTACATTTGACGAATATTATATCTTTTTTTCTTTTATCTTTCACTTCGAAAATCATTTATGATCATTCAAATTTTTCTTTTGATATGATTATTTGATACGTAGAAAAAATAAAGAAAACGATATTTCTCATGCCTAAAGTACGTCAATAGTTCTTTTAATGTCACGATGACTGTAAAAGATATCGATCGTAATAATTATATCACTCGGATGTTACCGTTGAAGGTCTAAAAAAAAACCAAGAAATTAATAGTCTACGGAAGGAAGAATAGTTCTCGAGACATCATTTCTCGATTTTCTAATAACTTTGAAATGTTTTTCTATTGTCTTATTTACTAATCAGTTCTATACTATGAGAAATTCTAGACACATAAAAAAACCTGCTTCACCCACGCTTTAGTATATTTACTATTATTGTTTTTATTATTTGTATGTGCCTATGTTTTGTCCTTATTTTGTAAAAAAAACAAAACAAAGTCATGATTTTCCTCCTACTTATTATTATAATAGATGTTTGTTTATGTGTGCATTGATTGAAACAATCATAAAAAACTTTAAAAAATTTTTAGAAAAGTGTTTAAATATATATATATACTATTGCCTGAAGTATGTTATGTTAATTTAAGTTCTTCTCACCTATTACTTATTAACATGTTTATCACTGAGAAAAACTTTTGAAATCTTTGCATATAAGATATAAATTTCTAAATTCTATCATATTCATAGATGATTCATAGAAAAACCAAACGGAATGATTTAGTTGATTGGACAGTTATTTCTACTATGATTGTTTTTCGATTATGAATAAACAAGGAGCTATTTACTTAAAACGAAAACATAATTGACAAACTTGTCAAACCACAATGAAATCCAAAGACCAAATAATTCTCTCAACTAGTTATGCAAGTCATTAGAAAATAATATTCTGAATCTTCTTATTTAACAGATTCTAAAAGTGTATGTCAATATTATCTAATTAAAAAAAAAGTAGATCAAAGCTATTTATTTCTGGATGAGAAATAAGAACAAAAAATTGTAATGGGATATTGAACGTCTCGTATGTATGTTGGAAGAGAACTTTACAATGACATGCGACATTTAAGACTAATTTAAATATAAAATATTATCTTTAAATCAGAGCTTATTTCATCTATGAAATTCTGTCAAGTCAAAAGAACTACTAATATAATTGAAAGAAGTAGATCATAGAATAAGTGATTATTGACAATTTGTATTTAAAATTTTCTATTTTACAATAATATTAATTAATCAGTTTGATTAACTTAACAAAATACTTTCTTTTTCTTATTTTTATCTTTCAATAAAAATTAACACTATTAGAATTGGATGTTTTAGAGTAAAAAAAAAGGGGGGCTGATTGCTCACACCATTTTATTTGACCTAAAATAAGCTGACACAATATATGACATTGTTTTGTATACAACACTTGATAAGTTACATATAGAAAAACAGACGCATTACCCTTAATAGTTATTATCTTTTAAAAGCTTTTGTTTCCTTTTTATCACACTACATGTAACAAAATCAAACACTTTTATCTTATTATAATATATCATGTACTGTATTTTCGGATATTTCTCACGATGCCTCAGAATAAAAATCCTTGAAAAAAACATTTTTTTCTTTCGTTTTTCAATGATCGAAAATTGTCAACAAGGCATTTAGAATAAATGTTCTATTGTGTTGTTTGACGATTAAAAAAAACAATTTTATTCGTAAAACAACGAACTGAACAGAAGAGGGCATCTAAATATAGTAATAATAACAACAACTTCACTGATAAAAAAAAAATTTTATCGATTTTTTTCAATATGTTGCTATAATATATACATTGCAACAGATGTGACTATCGTTCGATTTATCATAATGGGCATGACTACAGTTAAGTCAATTATTTGCACTCCATGAAATCAATAGACATATTGCTTCTGACAAATTCCTTTTATCAACGTATTATTCACAGTCCAAATCAGCACTTAAACATACTTTTAATTTTGAAAAAAAAAATAATTTTCATGATCATGAGAAAATGATGAACGTATATCTAAAATCAATTGATCGCATTTGACAGTATATAAAAAAGAATTTAAAACTTCCAGAATGATTTCTACATGGCTTGTACAAATGAAATATTGAGATGTCATATTAAAATTAAACTTAATATTCTAGTATTGTTTGGCATTAAAAATACTTAATGCTAAGATGTTAGCAATAAATCTGGATTATTTTTAATTGTAATATATAGATTACTGATGGCGACTAGATCTCGAACATTTTATACTCAGAATTTTACAAGAGTGAATAATTTTTGTTCTATTTTTGATAATGACATTTCCGAGGTATAAAAAAAATCTTTGTTCTATTTTTGGAAATGACACTTTGAGGTGCAAAAGAACCATTGTTCCGTTATTCAATACTTTTGAAAATAAACTCTCGTAGGTCTTATCGTATATTAGAATTAAAAATAATGCTAATTTAATGGAATATCTTGACATTAATTAATTCTAATAAATATAATACCAAAGTATTCGAGTTAGTTCTAATACTAATGCTTAAATTATAAGCATTCGTTTAATACATAACGATAATCTGATGCCTGTCACAATGAACAATTTTATTTCTATGGGTATAATTAATTTATACTCCTTATTTTTTACTTCTTTATTGAACTAAGATAGCTGAAATTGTTTAGAATATCTTTCACATGATCTTAAAAATTAAAATTAACAGATGTCGCATGAGATTGTATTCTGATCTAAGTCAAATAATCTATCTATTAAATTCTTATATGCTAATATTTAATTAATAATTTCAAATAAAATTGTATTGTAAAATTCTTCGATTATCTCAATGTCAAGTCTTATTCAATTCTATAAGATTCACGTATGATTTTCTCGAGAATATTGCTTAATTTATTTTCGATTTCTATCTGTTTGTATTCTTTGAAAAGTCATTTATCATGAATCGTTTATGTATAATCATTTGCAAAATTTACAAAAAACTAAAGCATAAAACAAAAAAAAAAACGATTTCTAATGCATTTAGTCAATAGTATGTTCTAAAATTAAATGATAAAGTATGAGAAATTTATTTATGATGACATCTGGTCTGTAAGATAATCTCAATGAAAGACACTTAGCACAAGAAGTGAGCAAAACTAAAGTTACTTATATATGTAATCAAACATTAAGGAAAATGTTAACTTGGCAACAGTAGATGAAATCAAAGATCATGATGATATTTACACCATACAAAGAAAAATATGATAAAATATGAGTATTGCTCAGGGGATTAAAACGTACCTGTTTTGATTGTATAAAATCTTATAATAAATTCTCTGATTTACACTAATAGTTTTTTTTTTTGTAAGATTATTATAATGAAAATTTTATAAGATCATTTTAATGATCGAGTATCACGAATCTTATTAAATTTTATGATAAGAAGAAGATAAAATCTTAATATAGCATCGAGTAGTAGTCGAATATTTCTTACTCAAAATTTAAAAACAAATCAATTTATCCATCAAAATAATTAATCACGATTGATCATTTAATAACTTTTGCATATAAAAAGATATTTAGCACAAAAAATAATTTTATCACTATTGATCAACAAAAAAAAATGATTTTACATGTATCTCTCTACTAAAGATGTCGGAAGTGTATAAATTAAAGTGAAACTTGTTTTTCTTCATATATGTACCGTGAGATAAAGCATGACGAATTGATCTAGAATAAATATATTTTTATTTTATTCCAATGAGTTTTTCTGCGTAAATTTTCACTTTATCTTGATGACCTACTTTTTTTTTGTTTTGAAAAATAGGTCAGTTTTCGATAACCTGCAAATTTTCACTTTTTTTGTTTCTTTCAACTTTTAAAATTGTTTTTTTTTCAAGCTCAAAATATAAAATTGAGTCTAGGAAAGTTATTTATGAATAATTTTTCTAGATTCAATTTTACACGCTGAATCTGAAACGAACCGTTTTGAAATATGAAACAAACAAAAAATATTGACAATTTGTAGGTTATCAAAAAATGACCTATTTTTCAAAAAAAGAAAAAGTAGGTCATCGGAAAATCTGAAAATTTATGCGTAAATACTCATTGAAATAAAATGAAAACACTTTTATTCTAGATCAACTTGTCACGCTCTATCTAACCATATATAAAAACAATTTGAATTCTTTGGCATCTTATATAATAAATAATCAG